TCCAACCCCGCCAGCAACCCACCTACGCTCCGCCTCCCCCAGCGTCAAAGTACGCCCCCGCGCCGTCATCGAATGGAACAGCAGCTGCCCCTCCTCCCACGACCAAACCCCCACCATCGTCAACAACAACAGCACCACCACCACCTCCTCCTCCCAAATCCTCAGTGACGACGGTGACAACAACGACAACACCATCGACAACTTCACCTCCAGCAACGACACCGCAAACATCACAACCTCCGGCCTCGACACCGCTCCACCCAAGCGCCTCGATCCGCCCCGTCTCAGACCAAGACCTCCAACCTCTCCGCCGCATAAACTCCCTCCTCCTTCCAGTAGCGTATCCAGAAACCTTTTACGCCGCAGCCCTTACGGGCCCCTTCTCCCGCGTCGTCACCTGGCGCGACCAACCCACCACAAACTTCTCTCAGGAAATTGTCGTCGGCGGCGTCGTAGCCCGCATCGAACCCTCCCCCTTTCCGTCCGCGACCCCGACCCCGACCCGCCTCGAGCACGCCCTCTACATCCAGTCTCTCGCCCTCCTCTCCCCATACCGCTCCCATGGCCTGGCCACCGCCGTGGTAGACCATCTCGTCGCCGCGGCCGCAAACTCTTCCCCCGACGTCAACCTTCGCCACATCTACGCCCACGTCTGGACCGACAACGAGGAGGGCATGCGCTGGTACGCCGCCCGCGGCTTCGAGCGATACGGTGAGCCGCTGCAGGGGTACTATATCAAGCTCCGACCGGACTCAGCCTGGATCGTCCGCCGCGCCGTCGGTCCTCTTTCCATCGGCGGGCAGCAACAGTCCTTATCCTCTGACAGAGCCACGGCACCACCGCCGATCCCAGGTCCCACCGCCGCCGTCGCGAACCTGCCACCCATGAATGGAAGCAATGGTGCCGGCGGGCCCCCTCCTCCACCGTTGTCGAGGACGATCTCGGGCACATCCTTCCAGAACCGTCGCGCGGCGACAGAGTGGAACGATCTTCCCGACGAAATGGCATCGGCCAAGCTCGCGCCTCCCAAGAGCAGCGGCGGCTCGGGCGCGAGTTCCCGCAGCAGCTCGACAGTGAGGAAGAAGAAGGATAGATCCTACCCGGCTGCCGCTTTTCAGGGCTAGGCGCAAGAGGGGCGTGTGGAATTGAATCTTGTCAAGACAATCAGATGGCGGCAGGATGAAGAATGACAGTCACGTACAAATGGGAGTACTCAGGACAGGCAGGATCGGCTTCATCTCAAACCCCGAACTGTCCCGAGCACTGGTCGACTCCATGGCATTCACCATCTAAATCACAAGATGCGAAAGGGGAAAGACACAAAATACTAGAAAAGATTCGCCCCCAAAATTTAGAGACTAGCCTGCTATAGACGTTTTGAACTTTCGTTTTTAGAGAAAAATTAAAAACAAGACAAATATTTAAACAGGTAATGCGTTTTGAACAAAAACCTTTCCCAAAGCAAGCAAGGTTATTCTGTTTTGCTCAGGCCCAACTCCGGTATTTTCCCCCTTTGTGTGTGTGGAATCATGAAGAAAATGATCAAATACCCAATGCCGAAAACAGAAGATGCTCACACGGATGGGGACGCAGACAGGGAGGAGTGAGAAAAACATCTCCTTCTCTTCTTGTCGGTTGTCCCAAATGACTGGTGGGTTTTGGTTTTCCCACACTTCCTTCCATCCTTTCCCATTCCTCAATGTCGCCCATTCATTCATCTCTCTTATACTTCGTTCATCATTGACGGTTATACCGAGACCACCAGACGGCCGCAATGGCTGCAACACCAACGATACCTCCAATGATCAATGCCGTGTTGGTTGTTGACACCTCTTCGCCTGTAACGCACAAAATGTGATTAGCCGACAGTCTCGCAATGCATCGCAGCGGGAAGTTCATCACGGTCGAGATCGTCCTTTGTCTCGGCGACTCCAGTGACTAGCAACTTACGTTGTTCAGGGATAGAGTCAAGTTCCCTCTTGACATTCTGTCTGAACTCGGTCAAGACGTCGCCCTCCTTCTCCATGCCAGCTGCCACAAGGGCAATGAGGGCGGCGCCAACTCCACTTCCGTCCTTAGCGATGCCAATGCGGATCTTGTCAGCACCCTTGGGGCCGATGCTCTCAATGGAGCGCAGGGCCTCGTAGATCATGTCTCTGAAGAAGGGGTAGTGCTCAACCAAGCTGCCGTCGACACCAACATCAATGACCTCCTCCGTCTCGTCGTCAAGCTTGCCGGACTGGAGAACAATGGCGCCAATGGCGACAGCTGACAGGCGAGCTGCGCGACGGCCGACGGAGCCGGCGACGGCCTTGAAGGCCTGGGCGTCCTCGAGCGAAGGGCTGTACACCAGCATCTCGGACTCCAGCTGCTGTCTCAGGGTTGACAGCTCGGGGGTGTTGTCGGCAGCGGCAACGGACATGATGGAGCTGTCCAGGCCCCACTGCTTGAACATGCCGGACTGCGCACCGATACTTGTTGTGGACTTCCAGTCGTTGAAGCTAGAGTTCTGGTCCTTAAACAGGGAAAGCTTCTCGTCCTTGAGCATGTCAAGGATGGTCAGACGGACAATCTCGCCCAAGAACATGCCAGAGACACGCTTCTCAAACATCTGGATGCCGGGGTTGACACTGGCCTTGTCCAGAGCATCATCCCAAGGGGTGTTGGGCAATACGTTGAGCTGGTTGTCGAAGGAACCCCACTCAGTGTTCACAACCATCTCGCCAGTAGCAGCCTCGAACTCGCCGACAATGGGCTTCTTGATGTTGGACAGCTTCTCGAGGTAGGCGCCGTTGGTGCCAGTGCCGAAAATGGCACCCAAGATGGAGCCGGATTTGCCGGTAGAGGTGTAGGATCTCGCCATCAGGGTTCCGACGGTGTCGTTGACGAGAGCAGCAACGCGGACGGGGAGGTGCAGCTTGTCGATCTCGACTTGCAGCAGAGCACAGACATCCTTGCCGACGGCATCGGGAATATCGAAACCCTTGGTCCACCGGATCAGGTTGCCCTTGTTAATGCCAAGCTGCTGAACGGGGAAGCTGAAGGTGAAGCCCAGGCGGAAGACGTGCTCGTCGCGGTAGCCCTCGGGGGCGCTGTAGGTTTGACGGCGGCGAATGTGCTGCTCAAAGTGCTCGGCGTGGTGTTCGCGAAGGAAGAGCTCAATCTGCTTGGCGAGGAAGGAGAAGAGTTCCTCGGCGGTCTTGGCGACCATGAGCTCCTTGGGGATCGCGACCTTGCTGTATGTGAGATTGAAGGTAGTGTCACCGTTGAGCTGGACGGAGCACACGCGGAAGTTGGTGCCACCGAGGTCGACAGCGAGGTACAGGCCCTGTAACAAGTGTCAGTGAGTGCACTCCCGCAAAGTGGGTTTGCGAATGCAAAGCTTCATTGCTGCACAATTTACCTTTTCAGTACCATTGGGCACGCCAGTGACGTAGGTCGGGATCTGGCTCATGCTAGATCCATCCTTTTCCAGGCCAGTTTCTGTGAATTGCCAAAAATCAGCCCACTTTTCTCGACTGTTGAGTATTTCCATGCAAGACTGTTCTTTTTTTCCCGGCGCAAATATTTGGCCGTGACAACGACAGTTCCCGCAGGTGAATACCTGCAGAGAGCGGGAGCGCGAAGGGAGAATGGGCAAACTTACGCATTTGGCCAAGAAATTCGCTGACGGCACGGTTGAGGTATGCATCGGACAGCTCGAACTGGTCGACGACGCGTTTTGTCTCTGCTTCGAGCGCCATTGTGAGAGGTATGGAGATTGGCGGCGTGGTTGGAAAAGGCGCTGGATTTTCGCAGACGGGCTCCTGGAAGATTTGTGCCGAAGGAGAATAGAAGGGAGGAGGCGGGTAGAAGAAGTTGTGAGAGGGGAATGAGTAGGAGCGAAGCTGCAGTTGGAGGTGCGGCGGAAGGAGCTTGGTGTCTCGGAGGAAGAGCTGCGTGAGCTGTTTTGGTACAAATTAGTCCAAGGCAATCTTCGTTGTAAGAGGAAGATGAAGTGATTCTCCAGATAAGAGAGGGAAAAGATATGAGGAGAAAGAGTTTGAACTTGAGAATTCGAACAAGGCAAAGCCAGATAAGGTAGGAGGGTGAGGAAGGTGTGGGACAATGGGAGAAGAAGGTCAGACAGAGCGAAGGTGAGGAAGTTTTTGGGGGAGCTCTGAGGATGATGTATGTGACGAAATCGCAGTGGAATGGACGGGGGATGGGGTTCAATTGGCATGGGAGCAAACATGGAGCATGGGGAGCAGGTGTGGAGCTGATGGTTGCTGGTCCCATGGAGCAGGGCGACAGGCATGCAAAGTAAGGACCGTAAGGTAGGTACTCGCCAAGGTACCTTGCCAGCACTCAACACCACCAGAAAGCAGTGAGGTAATGTCGTGGTGGGGTGACCGAGGTGGTCCGTCTCGTGCTACAATCCGTAGACACGATTTTCCTACAGCTCCAAGCCTCCAAGACTCTTGTCTTCCACCTTGAGTAACACAAGTCCACGACATTTTGGCAATTGGCCATCATGACAGAGGACGCCCAGAATAGCGAAGCCGAGGCCAAGGATACGGAACAGGGACGATGACCAAGACCCTGCCACTGGAGTCGTCGTTGACTAACTCTCAGTTGATGATGCCCCAGGTCTGCATGTGGGATGCAAATGCCATTGGGTCACATCCAGGCCTTCAAGTTCTGCAAGTCTCGAGACCTTTTTTGTTCTCCCTTTCCAGATGTTGGGCCGGACGGAGGACCAAGCTGCGCGACGAGAATAGGGTCTTCTGCAGCACGATCCAGCATGGTGAATGGACGGCTACAGCTGCGTGATGTGAGGCGAGATGCGTGGCCGCGGAAAGCTGGAACTGGAACTGGAACCTGAACCTTGGAACCAGCTCTGCTCTGGGGGGGCGTCGACTAGGTACTGCGGGGAATCGTGCGCCCGTGTGTATCCGTACAAAGTAGGTCCAGTAGCGTAATTCAGCGAGAGAGACCACCCAGACTGCCCATAGTTTGGCATGACGACGAGGTACGAAGGCGGCGGCAGAGTCCGGTCAAGTGTTCTGTTCCTTGGCCTTGGCCCATGGCCCTGCTGGCAAAAGCTCGGGAGCCGAAAGCAGCTCTGGCCGCTTGCCATTGGATCGTGGCTTCAACTTCGGCCCCGCCGTTGGCCCCAATTGGGTTCCGGCGAGGTCCCGATCATCGATTGCCTCTCATCTCTCGTGTCGCTCGCTCGATTTTCTCGCCCGTTTCTCCCTCACCGAGTTCCCTGCCCACTGCTATTCGTTCTGGCCTGGTCTGCTGCAGCTGTGCGAAACATCAAGGCAGGTAAGGTAGCCAACCGCTTGACCATCCATGGTGAAGATTCACTCAAGGAGAGTCTCCGGCGCTTCTCCCGGCTCAAGTCGTCTGCATGCTGCCACCCCATGTCTCCTGCTCCCCATCAAGCAGATTCCCCAAAACCTGGGCCCCCGTGGAAGTCCGCATATGCCCCAGGGGAAATTTTCCCCCAAGTTTGGGACATGGGATAAGGTATTCGGACAACAACCATATTCATACCCAAGGCACCCAGGCGGCCAGGCCACCACGCGCGAGACTGACGCTGGCGGCGGCTCACCACCCACTGCACTCGCAGGGCTCTGAGTCTCTGACAGGCGACACTATCACCCCCCGTCCCATGGTGGCCCACTTCTACGCCGAAGAAGCTCCCGTTTCCATCCACAATTGTCCACACCCGGGCGGGCCACCGAACATGCCGGAAATGGAGAGACTTTGCTCAAACACAAGACGAAAAATTGAACCCATGGAAAATGAGCGCATGCAACTACACCACGCCGTCGCCCGGCAGAAAACAAGGGGGCGGGGACGTTGAGTCTTTTGAGAGACTATGTGTGAGTTCAGGGCAGTGGTTTGGGATATGGGGATCCAGGGTTAGGCAGTGTGAAGTGTGTGATAGGTTTGTCTGATGGGAAACGACGGATACAACGAAGGAGAATCTGCACTGCTGCAGAGGTACTTACTAGGACGAGTGCTAAAAACACCGCCGAGCAAAGGCCGTACCAAAATGAGGAGACCCCATGGGAGACCAGGAAGCTGCTCCTCCTTCTCCGGTGTCTTGGTCCGTGGCCCTTGACGTGACCGTCGCTTTTGTTTGTCTCGTTGTCGATGGTTTCGACGTTGCCGCCATTGATACTGCCAGCTTGCCTCAACTCCACCCCGTACTGGCTCATACTCTGCGTGTCGTCGTCAAATGCCTCGTCTGATGCAGCTATATTCGATAAGTCTTTCTGGTTGGTAATATCACCTCCCCCAGTCGTTGACCTTGACTGCTGTTGCTGGTCTAGGAGGTCTTGACAATCGATACCAAGAGCACCCGCGCGCCAATCGGCGCCTCCACCCCGGACGTAGGCCGACAGTGTGCCGGTGATTGACAGCTTGAAAACGCTCGGATTCTCACTGCGAGCGCGTTGCTGCACCTCACTGCGAAAACACCAGCGTCTTGCTGAGATAAAGTACCGATTTGAGTGCTCCTATACGGGAGTCCCAGACTGAAGTGAGGTAGCCCGGGACGGGATCTAGCTCCGATGAAGTGACCGGATTGACCTTGGTGCGTGCAAGTGCAACCTGCGAGACGTAGCGCAGTAATGGTGCGCGGCGTTTGGGTTACGGAATAACAGCGGCGAGCCGCGAGAGGTGGTGCCAGTGGTGACCTTTGGCGCCGAATTTCTCCCTCTCGGCCCTTTGGAGGAGACAGAACACGTTTAAACGGCCCGTCTGTAATTAGTTTCCCGGGTGTGACGCTGCGGATAGACGAAGGAGACCCAGGCCTGGCGCCCCAATGAGGTCATATATGGGGATCCCGGGTGTACCTGTATTGGACTCTCGCAAAAGGTGGGAAGACCTCTGCAGGGTTTGCGCCAAATTCTGATGTCCTCGTGTGTCGTTTTGTCGTGGATTCGTGGGTTGCGCCAGGCGGCGGGGGGGCTAGCGGGGAATAAAATCAAAAGATGATAACTGTGGAATTATGAGGTGAAGAAGAGTACTCCGTACTGGAGAAAAGGAAAAAAGGCGGAGAGGGCAAGAATCTAGAGTCCTTTCTGGCCTCGAAAGTAAATCGTAAACGCTTTGTCTCGTTCAATTGCTCGTGATAGTCGTGCGCTCGTCACGTCAGACCGATGATCAGGGTCCCTCGGTTCTAGGCTGCTGGGTCCTGGATGCTGGGTCTGGGTTCCCGGATCTTTGGGGGTCTCAAATCTGAGTCGGTCGGGAGATTCCCTGGTGCGTCTTGGTGGTGTTCGATTCAGAGCGTTGGTGGCTTGACTTGGTATTAATAAACTGGGCTCCTCGGCTTGCGGCTGCCTCTTCTTTAGCATTCCGTGTGCCAAAACGAATGTCGCTCGGTCTCTGTCTTCTTTTTCTGCTGTTGCTTCCCCAGCTAGTGCCTGCAGTCGTATATCATGCGACCGCAACGAATTGGCTTTCCTGGCTGGTCCTGTTCGAAGGAAGTCGGCAGAGACGCCGAAGCGTGAGGTGACGCAGTTGCTCCAGATGCAGTGGTCTAGCCCTCTTACAGATCGGGGGGCACGTCAAAGTGCAGAACCAATCTTGATAACGAGGCGTCCAAAGATGCTTCCTACAGTTATGGCCAGAGCTTCCCGGTTTTCGTCTTGGCAATGATGATTGGTAGCAGCCGTCCGCCGTGGTGGTGGTGCGGATAGTGTGTAATTCTGATCAGAGTGTGAAGATTGAGCGCTACTCTGATTTGCTAGCGTAGACTGTCGCACAATGGGCGGTCGCCGTCGGACTACTTATGGTTGACGTGGAACAAACTGAAGGCGAGATAGGACGGCCGCTTCTTCAGAAATTGGTGGTTTCAGGAGGAAACAAAACAGTCGAGCGAAGAGGCGACAAATCAAGTTCAGGTCAAGGCAAGACGAGACGAGAAGGCAAAGAGCAAAGAGGAGGTTGGCGCGCAAGTCGATCCGTCTTCCCTTGGTCCCCTCCTCTCTGTTTCTGTCTCTCTTCCCTCGTCTCTCTTTCTCGTCAGCCGAGGCGGGTTCTCCTTCTCGAGCGCTTCTGTCGCATAAGAAACACTCCTGGGATTGGATTGGAGGAGGGGGTGCGCCGGATTTGAGATTTGGGTTGACCACTCAGATCGCTATCGAACCGTTGCAGGGTCCCGCCCAACTGTGCGGTGTGAGCTGCAGGGCCAGGGTGCTTGTCTAAAGTAGACTCTGGATCGTTGGAGAGGAGAGGATCTTTCAGTGGCCTTGCTGCGAATGAGAGCCGGTTACAAAAGGGGAAGATAGATGGCGCTTGGCCGCCTTGAGATTGGCCAGTGCCGACAACCTGACTTCTTGGACAACAGGAGGTTGAAAAGAGGGAAAAGGCTGGGAAACACCGAAGGCCAGAAACAAAGCACACGATGTGCCATGGACCGTGGGCGAAGTTACGAACCTTCCATACACTTGAGTATTTGGGAGTATGGCAGGAACGGCTCTCCCAAAAAAGGAAGGAAGTTGGGGAGCTGATGAAACGGAACCCCCAGCGTGACCACCAGGCCCCTGCCTCCAACTGGCAACAACGATGGGAGCACGGAAGGTATCTCCCCCACGACGTCGCTCCCCAGCATTTGGTTGGCGGCTGCCACAAAATACCCGGCACTCAATATCTCCAGCTGGGGGAGCCTCGTACACGAGCGACATGATAGGACACTTGGTCTTTTTCTTTTGTTAACTTCCAGAAATTTCCATTCCACTAGGTATGTACCATGCTGTATGTAGCAGTAATCCCATCCACGTATCATCAACTTTCCTCAATGGTGCTCTCTACCCGCTGGACCTTCGATACCATTGATATCGTAATGCTTCTTTGCTTGCCAAACTCCCCACTCCATTCCTTTCACTCAACCTCACTTCGTTCGGAGATAGACACTGTGCCACTGATCCTCGTCCATCTATAATTAGCCCTGGGCAAAGTTCCTCTTGACAATGAAGAAGGACATCATAAGAAGAGCAGCGCAAGTCATAAAGACGGCGTTTCGATGTCCATCTCCTGTTTCTTCGTTAGCAACGATTCCGATACTTGGACTTATCCTAGGAACTTACCCTCTTCATCCAAGCTATGCGCCACGACAACAAACACGTTGAGAGGTAGCCTCAGCAGACTGTACACGCGACCACGCACCCCGTCCTCGACAACCTGACTCTTCAGGAAGGACATGCTTGGGAAGTAGGCTCCAATGCTGGCCTCAACCATGCACAGCGCCCAAAACAACAGTTTCTCATTGTCCAGCACGACTGCTCCGGACAGACAGCAGCTCACCACAAGCACGACCAGCATAAGGATAAGCGATGTCGTCTCCTTGGAGTGTGTTTTTGTGTAGAGGGAGAAGAAGGAAGATCCAGCCATCATAGCGCACATGAAGCTGGAGAAGATGAGCCCGAAAGGCAGTTCCTCGTCTGAGCCAGCCTTGGTTCGCGCGCTCTTCAGCGCAGCAGACCAGAAGAACACAAAGAGGTACATGGCTCCCTCGAAGAAGGTCGACGTCAGGCCTAATGACAGGATTCGCATATCGGCCAGAATCATCTGGATGCCGCTCTTGACCTCAGCGAGTGATGTTGTTGCCGGGCCATGCTGCTTTGTTCCGTAGTTCTCGCTCCACCCCTTCAAGATCAACCACATGGCCGCTCCGGAGCAGACCACACTTGCCATGAAAGGCCAGACGCGGCCACCCAGCGAGTTGACCAAGATGTCACCAACGACGCCAGACAGGATTGCAACGATGGAGCTGATGGTGGTCATGTTGCCAAAGATGGAGCCTAGTTTGAGGTTCGTCCGCGAAAGACCACGCTGGTTGTATTCCGTAATCAGCCAGGCCTCGAACACACTGTACAGAAGTGTCGTCGAAACACCGCCGGCGAATCGGCCGAGAAATAGGATGAAGAGGTTGTCGGTAAGCATCGTCAGGCAGGTGAGGATGTAGGTAGCGCAGTACGTAAGGCAGGCAAGGCGGCGGCCGTATCGATCTGCCAGCTCGCCGGCAAAGGACGCGGAAATGGCGCCAGACACGAAGCCTGCAGCGTAAAGAGCAGCCACGACCCTCTCGGGGATGTTCTTCTCGTATCTGTAGATGGCATAGATATGGGGGCCCTGTCCCTATGTTAGTCTGATTGCTTCCATGATAGTGGTCGCATGGCGCATTACCTGGAGCCAATCCGCTGCCATGGCCAGGGCGTAGACCGGGAAGAAGTCCAGCTGGAATTGGCGGACTGCATTTTGAGATTCGACGGGCGAAGAGAGCAGTTGCTGATGCTCGACATCTCCTCCGTCGGAACCCTCCTCCGAGTCGGCAGCCTCCTGCTTCAGCTCCTCGATGACTTCTTGTTCCTGGCGCTTGTACTGCTGATAGAGCAGATACCCGTTGCCCGCCGCAAAAACGGCCAGATTAATCTGGTAGAAAGCCATTTTGCCGCAAGTGTGACTTTCCAAGTTGTGTAGAAAGGTAAAGTCTTGTTTGTAGAGCTTGTGGGACGTTGGATCGGTATAATAAGGCTGTCGACGCGGCAGACCAGCATTCCACGAGCCAAGTATCAGTAGGCGTCGCGTATCTTGGGATATCCTGACATTCGTGGTGTCTCAGCTGCCCTTTGGTCGGTGGCGCCTCAGCTTGGCATTTATTGGAGGAAGCTGGAGCGTACTGAAATGATGGAAGAGACAGAGGCCCAGAATCGATGTCGAGGGAAGACTATCACATTGTAACAAGAATGGCAGGGGGCAGTCGCTTCTTTCTTTGGTTCCTTCTCTCCCATCGGCACGGTACCTGCGGACCTGCGTTATGCCAATTGCACTTGCCAAACATCAATCGGCAAGCAGCTGCGACGGCTTACCTTAGGTAGGCTTCCCTGTCTGGAAACGGATGAAAAAGAGGACAGGTTCGTCAACATGGGACGCCATGCTGATTCAGTGGCTTGGCTGCGCTATTGAATCTGTAACGCGGCCCCTACAGTTGTACCTGCCGCGACTGCCATTTGCTGCGTGCAATCTGCCGGTCCCCTAATTCCCCTTCCTGATAGAGTTTGGCTGGCTTGGTATCCTGAGTTTAACCCAAATGTTGCTGCCACCGCGGCTGTTCCAAACCAGCGGAGATAGATCCAGCGTGTACTGCGTACGGACGGGAGGGAGAAAGTTGTGACCAATGAGACGTCGTCCGTAGCTTCCAGCTTGGCACCCAGCTCTCGGCCCAAGCTTGAAATGAGAAAGGAAGTGTTGGTGGCGGACACTAGCCACACTCAGCTGTTCACCATGAACTGATCGAAGGATACTTGACTATTGTACTATGTACTTGGATCGTACCTGCACATTCCTTTCGATTGGCACATAAGAAGACGGCGTGTTGTCTCGCGTATCAAAGCCTAGAAAAGGGACAGGAAGGGAGAGAAGCGGCACGCAGACTTGCGAGCAAAGCCTCCCTCGAATGCCCCCCGCACTTACATAGAGCTGGTTGAAAGCATGTAGGGCAATTTCACCACCCCTCAGCTCAATGGCAAGTATGGGAGACCGCACGTTGCATTGGATGAAATGAAAGAAAGAAAGACCCTCAAGGGATGCACGCAAATCGCCGTGAATCGGCGTCGAAGTTAAGTGCGTATTTCACCAAACCATGTCTGATGTAAGGTATGTCTCGTCGCACCGATACCCGGCCGCCGGTATGTCAGGATGCTGCCGGCCATAACGGCTCGGTTTCAATCGACAGGTCTCCAGAAGCGGGTGGGGAGCGATTGGACGCGGGCCCAATGCGTTCGGGGGCAACGGCCGGAGCCCCGAAGGACCCCTACGGCGTCACGGCGAATACTGGGGGACTGTCCACGCGGCAGATGCAGTCCACATTCTTCCATGTTCCTGGTAGAAGTTACTCGGACCTGGCCGTAGCCAGTCCGGAGCCTCCAAGCTGCTCCGAGGAACGTAGGCCCACCGAACGGACGGGGCTGGGGGGCAGTGCTTCCATTGGAATTACGCGGATTCGAGAAGCAAAGGTCGCAGTGGGCAAGGCGGACAAGAGTTTGGCGGTGTCCAGGACGCGTGGGACCCTAGTAACATTTGTCCACAGCACGAACAAACACGACGCAACGGAAGCGTGCCAGCGACTAGGATCCGGGACATTGACAGCCCGACCGGAGCGACGGCGTGCCGGGATAGGTATCGGTGTGCCGTAATAGCAAACCTGGCAAAGTCCTTCCAACCATCAGATCAGTGGGAGGCTGGGGGCCTAGGGCCATGGGCGCCATCCCCTGGCCCCGACTAGGTACCCAAGGATTGTATGCTCCAACGGCATCAAACTTTGAGGGTGCTCTTGAGAGTTCACGCACCAAGTGATGGGGGCTTGAAGACTGGCAAAAGTAAGACTGGCGCACTGGATAGAAGGGAAGCTTCGGCGCCGGCTTGGGGAAAGCTGCTAAACCTGAATAGCTGTGCGGCTGAGCTTGCTGAGTTGGATCAGAGGACGGCGGCAAGTAGGGGTGCTCCCTGTCTGGCCTATTGCACGACCACGGGGCTTAGCATGGCTGCTGTGCTACGCCTCGCGACGGCTGGTTTCCATTCAGTGAGATATTGTGGGAACAAGATTATCTCGCGTAGGGTTAGTAGGGTACGAGGCATGGCTCGGAACGAGAGGTCTCCCTCACCCAACTGTCTGCAGATGGCGTCCTCGGGTTCAAGTCTTGATGTATCTCGCAGGTAGTCGTACGAGGATGGGATTGCAGGTACAGCTGTGGCATCGGTCGGTCTTCCAGCTGGTGCTCTCGAGACGGGAAAAGATTGACGTGAGCAAGGCTTTTTGCTTCTTTGGCAGCGAGAGCGAAGAAGGGGTGAGGCCTCTTGCATCTGCATCAATATTCTGTAAGGTCGAGCGCTAAGCGGAATGCTGACGTATCTAGAGAATTCGAACACGAATGTCTCGCTGGAAACTGAAAGCCCAGTTCACTGTGCAGCCATACATCTTGAGCGCTTCCGTGAGGAACATACTGTGTAAAGGGACAAGGAGGGCGAGGGCAAGGGAAGACTTTGGATGGCAATGACTATCTATCTTATCTGAGTAACGGAAGGTGCATTTCGATGTTCTTACTTCCTGCCATTTGGCAAGGCGGGAGGGAAATTGGCAGGAACCCAAGCTTCTCAAGTGCTGACGAACCCAAGGTTCCTTCTTACCTTACCGTACGTGCCTACCTACCTTACTTCTTGCTTCCTTGACCTGGCGGGGTACCTTAGCCACAAGAGAAAGAAGAACCAGGAAAGAGAGGGGAAACGCGAGATGCTTGCCTATCTACGAGGTATGTTTCCGTAGGCTACCTTAAGGCTTCCTCTAGTTACAGTTACACCACTCACCCCCACGTTCCTCCCCAGATACGATTACCAGGACAAAGGAAAGAGCCGTGGGTTCGCGATTGATCCGACGTACCTTACCTTCGAGCGCTTCTGGGCCAGATTCACCAAGGAAAGGGAAGTAGACTGGCAAAGAAAATGGCAGCACTTTTCGATCTCTGAACTGATGCCTCCGATTCCTGAGTTGTCATGACCCAGCCCGAAGGAAAAGCTACCGGCCAGACAAGGTCTTACAGACGGCGAGCTGCAGGTGCGGATGCCTCCCCGGCGTCAAGGGCACATCATGTACCTCGAGGTACTTGGTGCTGCGTATGGAGTACCCGTACGGAGTACACTCAATTCCCAAAGTCCTACGTCAAAAGTCCTGCATTGCGATCCTACCACTAGGTAGGTATGTAGGTCCAGTCAGACTCATCCCTTCCATTGAATCCTGGCCCTGAGACGCCTTGCTCGTCTGCTTCTCTAGTTTCTACTAGGCCCCTCAATAATTCTCAGGGTTCGAAGAGCCAGTATCCAGAGACACAATCCCTCATTGCTCGTCATAGGTTCCATGGCACTATGATCATTGGGCGTTGATAGTGCTCGTGTTCCTATACGGATACAGATAAGGCGAGCTGTGCCCCATGACGCTAAAGTCCTTGACTGACTTTGGCCACAGACATCCGATGGTTGACACCTGAAGCCCTGGAGTTCCTGCAAAAGGACTCAGCCAAACATGAATAGATGTTGCCGGATTTCTGGGTCCCAACTCCCCGCAGCGAGGTCTCGTCGCAGACCGACGATTAAGTCCATACCCTGTCTTAGTTGTCCCATTTCCCAACGCCTAGCAAATTCGCAACCACGCATCGGGAATCCCGTCCCCAGTTTTCTCCACGAAAGTCACATCAGCATGTTCCCTGCCCTAACAGCTGGCGCTGGCTCGTCAGAGCGTGTCAGCTGTCAGACACCTCTGACGGGAACAGCAGGGCTAGGGTAATTAATTGTTTATTCCTTTGCAGGCACCAAGATTGCGGTCGACTGACTGTCCTTGATGTTAGGTCTTCCCACAGGCCGTTTCAGTGTGATCGCTTGCATCCTTCATCATCCAGGTACAGCAAGTATCCGCCCGGGGTTGAGACATTGATATCCAGCTCGAGCTTCGCCGTCAACCTTGTCATGTCTTGTCATTCTACGGGGGTGGGGATGGGCAGACAAAAAACCCCGACAGACGTCGTCCAATGTTTTGGGGTCTTTGAGTCTCTGACACGGACACCAGCGAGAAACCAGTCTCGAGATGCCTCGTGTAGATGGCTACGGCCCCCTCCTCCGCCCGGGTCCCAGACGTTGACAACGGCGACGGAAGACGGGACGAAACCCGTCGGTGATCTGATCTGGCCGCAGACGAGACGAAAGCTGGCCAGTCAAGCACTCCAAGGAAGGTATCCTATTCAGCTAGGTATCGCACGATGCTTTGTGTGCTGAGATGCAAGTAGTGCGTGTTCTGTACCACTTGGAGGTGGGAAGGTCCTGCAATGCATGTTCGTCGTACATGGATGGATACGTTGGAGGTACACACAGAGCCCAACTCGGTACTTTGTGTGTTCCTTACACACTTGCGAAGTGAGCTCTTAGGAAGTACACACGGGGCTCCAGTGCTCTGCAGCCAGTCTGAACCGGCGCAGTCCAATCCAGAGGCAGCATTTGGGGCCATTGAGCGCCCTCTCAGCCTTACACTGCCCAGAAAGCGACCCGAGGGGGGGTTCCTCCACCTAGCGCACCCGCAGCTTGTTTTAGTGCCATCAGCTGGCTGGCGGGAGTATTCATGGGTACCTTAGTAATAGCATCGCCGGACCACCGTCTGGCTGAGGATCCCGGTCGATGTCACTTTCGCAGTTGATGGCAGCAGAGAGTGACATGTGTCGTCGGAAGGGTTCCCCACTCCAGGTACACAGTTGACAGTCATCGCACAGGACTTCCTTTCGCACCTCACCTCAAGGTTTCCTTCCATGTTGGATGCGCCAAAACGGGGGGCACAGGGCAGGAAGCAAGCAAGCAAGCAAGCACTCGTTGGAACATGGGCTGGGACCAAGGAAGGTGTGAGGGCGAGGGCGAGGGCGAGGGCAAACGGGGTGGTCCTTTGAAGCAAAGCGAGACCGTAAAAAAGAACGAAACGAGACGAGACAATTCAATTTGGCCAGCAGAAGGACTAAGAAACAGCTAGCTTTTTGTATGCGTACGGATAGATGGGCAGGCAGGATATCCAAGACCGTACTCGAGTACCCTTGAATAAGACCAAAACAATGTACTCCTCAACAGGTTGGCCTATCGGTCTTGATTCCTTGACCAGAGAGAAGCTGAATACCTAGCACAACGAACAGCAGCAGGCTATGGCTTCTCTCCCTCTCATGGTGGCTTCATCTTGTTTACCTTACCTTACCTTACCTTAGTGCACCCGTGTGTGCTACCTCCTGCTCGTGTTGCTCTTACGGATTCCATACCTGGACACCCGACCCCGCGTCCAGCCGCCCAGCCCACCTTTGCGTGAGCCTCTTTCTCCTCCAGGTTGTCTCTACCTAGGTACCTAGCGACGAAGGAAGGAAGCGTCTCGTACCGCCCATGGTCGCTTTCCCTCGTCGCCCTCCTCTGCATGCCTAGCCCGCCTTCCTGCCTGCTTGCTTCATCACAGCTCATCGTCACCGTTTCCGACTTCCGAATCTCACCTTCTTCGACATTTTCAACTCATCGTCTTCACGGCAGCACTTTGCACCCTTGTTTTCGTCTTCTTCAATACACCGTCAGCAAGCAACGCATGCTTACCGTCCCGCGCCTGAGCTACATCAAAGTCTCATCTACGCCAGACAGCTATCCTTTCTCGCCAAGGCAGAGTAAGCGAGCGAAGGGCTGAAAAGGTACCTATCCGTACATTTTGTTGCTTTCCTGGGTGCCTCACAATTGCAAGTCCTCCTGCTCCTGTTGCTTGTCGTCGTCTTGGCCAAAAGAAAGAGACAGAAGAGCTCCCATCTTAATCCACCAACCCAATTCACCATCCCCGTCGTCCATCAGAACTTACCTTACCTTACCTTGTTGAATCCTCTCACATCTGCTCGCATTCACTCATACGCAGTCTCTCTTCAACTGGTCCGGCACTCTCCCACACACTCTCTCACAATCAATCCCCTTCGCTTTCTTTCTCTCTGCCCATTGCCGTGTGCCCTCTGCTATACTACATTACGAATACCTACCTTACTGTTGCTGCTGCTCCTTCCGTTGCACCGCTTTGTACGGAGTAGGTACGGCACACCTCAACCCGCATCATCCCAGAAACGGCGGATTCATTCAAGCGCCCACGGTGGTCCACGGTCCACGAAGGACGGCCCACGCTGCACGCTCCACCCCCTCCACCCCCCATTCCCAGCAAGCACCGCATTCTATTTTCTCACTCCTTCCCACTTCTTTTTTTTTTTCTCCCCCTTCGCCTTCCCGTCTTTCGTCTTCGTTCTCGTCCTGTCAAGCTCCGAGCCCCGTTGCAGCAAGCAGCAGCAGCAGACCCAGCAGGCCCAGCAGCTGTGTGTGTGTGTGAGAGAGAGAGAGAGAGAAAGAGTCCTAGGATTTCTGGTCCCTTTCCCAGACCTGCAGAAAAAGGTTCTTAGCCAAGTCCTAAAAAAGGGTTCTTGACTTTTTCTCTGCTGACCTAAGAACCGTGACTTGACCTGCGTCTGACTTGAAAGTTGACCGGGACGGACCACCACTGCCTACTACCAAAAAATCACCACCCACCCCCTCCCCCTCCTCCTCTTCACTCCCCCCAACCCCGACACCCCAGCCCAAAAGTCCAAGCCCAAGCCCAGCAGCCGCAGCAACAAGTCCTAAAAGTCTAAGCCCAGGCCATCCAATCCATCATCCCGCCGATTATTACTCGAGTACGACCAAGAGCACCACCACCGCTCCTCTCTGCTGCTCTGCTCTGCTCTGCTCTGCTCTGCTGCACCGCACCACGCACCCGCACCCGCACGGCTGCCGACGCCCTGCAACCCAAATCGATATACCCTCTGCTGGTCCTGCCCACCTTGGGCCCTCGCTTTTCTCCCTCTTCTCCTCCCCGACCCAGTAATCCCATATGAGCTTTTCCAACTCCCGCCTGAAAGGCTTTGGTTTCGGCAAACGCAAGTCAACTGCTAGTATCCAGACACCCGATCCGAACCAAACCCCAAGCCCGACCCCTCCTCCTCAGGGTGGTCACCCCTCCGGTGCCCCTCAAATACCGCAACAGATTCCCGTCCGCCCAGGCTCCATTGCCTCGACCTCTTCCGCTTCAATCGCTCCCATGAATCAACACCCAGGCGCCGGTAACCGGCCTCCGAGCTACTCGGCCAACTTTCCTCAAGGCGGTCCTCCTCCCATGGGTCGCACCAGCCCCATGACGGGTCAAGGTCCGGCTCGCACCCCGCCTTCGCAGATGGTTGGCGGTCCTCCTCCCATCAACACTGGTGCTCCCGTCGCCGGTTACCCCCCTCAGCTTCCTCCCATCGGCGGTCAGGGACACCCCATGGGCGGTCCTCCTCAGTACGGCGGCGGCGGCGGCGGTGGCTATCCTCCCCCGGGTCCTCCTCAAGGTGGGCCCATGGCACAGTACCAGCGAGGCGGCAGCGCGGCCGAGGTGGAAGGCAACAGCAGGAGTAAGGCTCAGCTGATTGTCGGTATCGATTTCGTACGTGGACTCTTGGGATCAAGACAATGTTTGTCATATGCCGCGTTGCTGACATGACCCACAGGGTACGACTTTCTCCGGTGTGGCGTTTGCTTTTGCGACAAACAACGAAGCCAAGGAAGACATTATAACAGAATGGCCTGGCGCTGGTTCATACACGAAGCAAAAGGTAGGAAGAACTTAGGGGTCCCCAGACATAGACAAAGCGTGATGCGTTTTGCTCTTGTACTTTGCTGACGCTCTTTTGTCTCTCTAGATCCCCACGGTTCTCTACTACGATCAGTACCAGAAGGTTGTTGGCTGGGGTCCCGACATCGCCGACGCCCTCGCCCCTACTGGATACCCAAAGCCCGGCGTGCAAAAGGTCGAGTGGTTCAAGCTGCAGCTCATGCTATCCGGCAACACATATATCGACCCCATCAACCTGCCTCCTCTGCCTCCTGGAAAGTCCGAAATCGATGTTGCGGCCGACTATCTGTTCAAGCTCCGCCAGGCTATGCGCTCGGCTCTGCAAAAGACTCTCGGTGAAGTATTCAACCGTGAGGAGCGGAACATTCGTTACTATCTCACCGTCCCTGCCATTTGGAACGATGCAGGAAAGGCCGCCACCAGAGCTGCTGCTATCCAGGCCGGTTTCCTGAGAGACGAAAACGACAACCGGCTGACGCTAGTTTCCGAGCCGGAAGCTGCTGCTATTTTCTGTTCCAAGACGGGACTCTTGAACCTCAAGGTCCACGACGCCGTGCTGATTGTCGATTGTGGCGGTGGTACTGTCGATTTGATCGCGTACGAAGTCGAGGAGGAGAACCCCTTCACCGTTGCCGAGTGCACGGCAGGATCTGGTGATTCTTGCGGTTCAACAGCGCTGAATCGCAACTTCAGCAACATCCTCCGCACCAAGATTCGCAAGATGAAGCTGCCCGACGGATCCAAGACGGCCGGCCGCGTGTACGCCAAGTGCATCATGGACTTTGAGAACCGTATCAAGGCCGATTTCCGCAACAACGGTCAGAAGTGGGCTGTCGACGTTGGTATTGAGGCCGAGTTCCCCGAGGCCGGCATCGAGGAGGGCTACATGACGTTCACCAACGAGGAGATTCTGCAGTGCTTCGAGCCCGTTGTTAACCGCATTCTCGAGCTCGTCAGAAACCAGATCATTGCCATCCAGGCCCAGAACCGGACGTTGCAAAACATTCTCGTTGTTGGTGGATTCGGTGCCTCCGAGTACCTCTTCCAGCAGATCAAGCTCCACGTTCCTCCCCAGTTCCAGTCCAAGGTCGTCCGTCCCATGGACTCCGTGGCCGCTATCGTCAAGGGTGCTGTTACTGCCGGCATCACCGAGCGCGTCGTCACACACCGTGTTGCTCGTCGTCACTACCTCATGGCCACCTTGCAGCCCTTTAAGGAAGGATACCATCCCGAGGCCTACCGTGTGCCATCCCTCGATGGCAAGGACCGCTGCAAGTTCACCCGTCAAATCTTTGTGCAAAAGGGTCAAAAGGTCAAGATTGGCGAGCCTGTCAAGGTCTCGTTCTTCCGTCAAGTTGCACCAGGTGCGACGCTCATGTACGAGGACATTCTGTACGCCTGCGATGATGATGTTTGCCCTGAGTATACTAAGGATCCTCGTAAGTTCAATAATGGATTTTCACAATTGACCATTGCTAATCTCGGACACAGGCATCAAGGAAGTTGTCACCCTGACTTCGGACCTGTCGCGGAAGAACCTAGAGAAGGACTTTGAGAGAATGGACACACCACAGGGCACATTTTACCGTGTCTACTTTGACATTTACCTGACGCTCGACGGATCCGAATTCAGCGCAGAGCTGGTGTGCCAAGGCGAGGTCATGGGCCGCTGCAGAGCGCGCTTCAGGTAAAGACGGTGTCGGAAGAAAGAGGGGAGAGAGAGGGGAGAGAGAGGGGGAGAGGGGGGAGAGCGAGAGACTGGTAATGTTTGCTTGCTTGCATTGGGCATTTCGTTTCCATACACTCGGATGATACCTCGAAAAGGTGATGGGGCCCAGAAGGACAGCCCCGAGGCTGATAATGGCCGAGAGTACATATCACGAAGAGACCTCCCAGAACAGATGACTGGAAGACGAGGATTGGATTTTGGAGGTTTTTATGACGCGGAAGGATTATGGCCTATTGTCAAGTGTTGTAGACGCACGACACTCCCCGCTTGGGAGAAATCAAGATTTTTTTCAAAAGACTATAGTTTCCTGACGGGGTTGTAGGGAGATCCACCCAAGTCCGGGGAAAGGTCGTATCCAAGCCTGATGAAGCCATCACCCTTC